TACAGATACAGATACCGAAACCCATACAGATTCAGATACAAATGTACAGATACAAAATGCCGCAAGCCCCGGCAGGTTGAAAATAAACACAACAAAAATCGCGAACCGCGAACCATTTTCGGAATTTCTTTCGTACCTCTTTCTCTGCCCATTTCTACCTGCCTGCCCTGCCCCCTCCCTGAGAATCGGTGAAGAAGGTGAAGTAGCTATAATAATATTATTCAGTAAACCGAAACAACCTTGGCCTCTGAAGCTTCGCAGCAACGCGGCAACGCAGCAAACGCAGCAGCTTGAAGCAAACAACAACAAAACATGGCTGAGCACCCGGCACTCGGCACAGTGGGACAAAACACATTGATTGAACAGTGAACAGTATGACATTTGGCACTGACCAAGGTAAATGATCCCTGGGTTCCCCCCCGCACCGCTCCTCGCCCAGCAGAGCGACTTTGATTTATGTGCGAAGTCGTCTTCATGAGCTAAGGGCAACATTGCACAAATTTTAGCCAGTCATTGCCCCTTTGTGCGGCTGTATCTGTTGCTGGGATGCCCGATGGTTTATGGGTCTGGTCAGGGAATAGGTTAGCGGATGCCAAGGGGGAAGTACACTCAGCCAAATAGTTGCAAATCACATGCTTGAAAGTATATTTTCCCTGAATAAATTCAGGGAGTATTTTTTGAATTTCTTGCATTTCCTAAGAGAGCGCATTTAAATTTTAAATGTATCATTCGATATTCGATTTGAAAATCAACTGAACAAATTCTTTACTTGACCCTAATGTTGGTGTAATTTATACTTTTGGTATAAATAAATCTATTATTTTTTGAGAAAGTAAAAAGGATATTTGGCATTTTTTCTCACCGTGCACTGGTAGATGGGAAGCATTCTCGGCCCGCCTTTTGTTCGCCACTTCCGGAGGGGATTGCTCTGGTGGGGACTTCTCCAAGGTGAGCCTTCCTTCTGTCATTCCATTTGAAGGTGTACACTCTATCGGACACACGGCTAAGAACAAACTGATTGAGTGATTCTGGTGGCTTACTTAACTGAGTTAATAGGTTAAGTTAAAGATAATTAATGGGGGACGTAAGCCTGCGGCTCGATTGAAAATCATTTTCCTGTGGCTATCAGCAAACGCAAAAATAGCACAAGAATTTCTAAAGACTGCCGAAATGATATCTGACTGGTCGTACATCATACTTATCAATATAGATAATGACCGAGATATCGTGGGGAATACTTTGTGAATTAATTAATCAATGTACCTTGAACACAATGGGTAGACAATTAAATAAATTTGCTGAATTAAAAAAGACGTTAGACATCATTAATGTTCATGTGTATATAAAGTAATTATTAACCTGAATTTAAGTTTTCGATAAGAAATGAAGGCATAGAAGAAAACCATTTCAATAATAATCGCATATGAATGACGAGAGTCTTTAAAATCGTTTAGAAGAGATAGACCTTTTATGATATAAACTCAAAGATTCTTTTTATGGTAAATCAACTTTCTATTAATGGGCAAAAATAAGAACATTTGAATCAAGAATATGAATAGAGGAATATGTGAAACATTAACCTTCTTTGGCACACCCAAGACTTTCAACTTTTAAGCATTGTATCTTAAAAGTTACGGATGCGTGACACACATTTCTAAAGATAGATCTTTATAGTACCTTCACTATGACCATCATTAGTGTATCGGCATGACTGTACACACAATGCGTTCGTTCAGATTGTAAGTTTCGTTAACGAAATCCTTCACATAAATTAGCATTAGATCTATCATTTCCCTAATATATTTAATGCCGGCAAATATTTGCACTGAATTAGCATTAGCCAGCTTCGGGAGGCCATTGCGTATATTTATTTGCTGACGATTTCGCGTTAGGTGTTAACTTCTGACCACGTGAAATCAATTAGCATTACTTGGAGTGGCCTGTGTTGGAGTGATGTAATATATTTTCGCGAATTTCGATTTGGCAAGACGGCGTTAATTTGGCCAAATTATTGGTGTATATAGAGCACTTTGGCCGTGAATGATCGCAGGAATATAAAAGCGATTTTGAACCAGCTGCCTTTTGCCTGCCTCGTCCTGGTCCAAGTCCTGGTCCTGGTCCTTCACCCTAACTCTCCCTTCATAGTAGTCTCTCTCTCAGTCTCTCTTTTGCAACTTCCTCCCCTTCGAGGTCCTTGTGGATTGTGTGTACACATTTGGAGAGCTCCTGCTCTCTCTCTCTCTCTTCCTCTCTCTCTTTCGCTCTCACTCTCCAGCAGGGTAAAATCCGGAGCAGCCATGTTGAGGCTGCAAAATAAAAAGGACAACAGGGCTGCAGACAAAGAGGCACCGCAAGGAGGCAGAGCGAGAGGGAGTGTGAGCTAGACGGGGTGAGAGAGAAAGAGCGTTAGAGGGTGTGCAAAGTCAAACGATTTGTCCTCTTTCCTTTGTTTACGCAAGATTTGTTGCCATTACGCTCCTAATCCAAGGGATTTCCAGGATAACCCGCCTAGCCCCGAAAAGGTTTTTGACTTTGCCAGCTTACCACTGTCCCACCAGGCCTTTGCCGTTTAGTGCTAATGAATACTGCTAGAAAGTCATTAATTAATTGAAATTTCATTACAGGACACTGGACACCTAACTGCAACGCACCGACTGGCAGCATCGCCTTGAGCCTTGAGCCATTACTCAGCAGCCTTAACGGGGGCTTAGTGCTGAATCATCGCCGCCATCGTTAACCAAAGTGGAGCAGGGCCAAAAGGAGGCTTTGGGTGGCGCCTAACGGAGGCGACAGCGATCCAGCGACAGGTCGGAGAGCTTAGCGTGGCGACTCACTGATTGATTTCAGTGCAAACAGAAGACCCCGTAAATGTGATCTATCATTCATTAAATGTGTTCCTTGTCTATCCAGTTCCGAGGCCTCGCACCTCATTTATCGACGCGAAGAAAGTGGCCATAATCCGCCGGCAATCAATTAGATACAAGCGCCCTAAGCACTCCCAAAGACATCGCAGTGGTATCTTATCTTATCGCCGCTTCTTCTGATAAGGCAGGGCATTACTTTCCGTTCTTCGCTCTAAGTTTTTTTTTGGGGCTACTGCCTAATCTCGTAGCAGTCGGTGAGGTCTTGGCTTCAGTTGTTTTTCCGCGGCGCAAGCGAAGACACCACCGGAGCAGGAGCCTCCGGCAAAAAGGTTTCCGTGACAGGAAAATGGAAACGGGAACGGACCTGGAAACGGACCCGGGAAGCCGGGAAATGCCTCAATTTAATTGGCAGACCAAGGCGAGCTTTGTAATCACATTTATGGGTCATTTCATAGTTTCCAAAAGGAAACAGGGAAACGCTCCTCTGGTCGCCATCGCATCACGTGTGGCACGATAAATATAAAATGGCTGAGGCGCATGTAATTGCCGCGTTGCCTAAATTACCCATACACACACACTCACACACATTGTATATGTTTATTAATGTTTTCACTTTTTTTTTCAGCCGTGATTGCTCACCTGCCTCACCTGACTTCATTATCCCGCAACGGCTGCCCTGCGCCAGTTTGCTCCACGTCTACCCTGTAGATCCGAATTTGTTTTATACTAGTTTTAAGGACAAATTCGGTTCTAGAGAGGTTTGTGTGGTTCAATATCCAACGTAAAAAACAAATTTGCAATTAAAACAAAACCCAGTGAAAGTGAATGTATTTTAAGTGATTAAAAGTAGCAACGGAATAGTGTTAAATATTGTAAAAATGCCAATCATATCCATGCTAGACACCAAAAATTGTCTCAATGACTCACTACCAAAAATATTGTTGCCAAGTTATAGATTGCTTGCCATAAAATGAAATCCTTGATAGTGAAAAGCCTTCTTGACATAAATTTATTCATATTCAATTTAGAGATAAGAGCATTTCCATTTTCAATGACTGTGATTCAGAGATGAACGAACTAAGGAAACCTTTGTTACATTTAAATCAACATAAATTAGATTGCAAGTTGTCACGAATATTGACACCAAAAACATTGAAATGTTTTCACAATTGTACAGACTATTCTAGGAACTTTATCTATATGTTACTGGAAAATGATTATTTAAAAAAAGGTACATTTTACTTGATCATGTTAAAGGTTTATCATGTCAGTTTTATGTTATAAACTAAGTCTAATATATAATATATCTACCTCTGAGAAAGTATTCCAGGGAAATTAATATGATGCATTAGATTATTATTATTTTGTTTCCAGGTGGATGTGATTTTAGAACTTAAAATTATGTTAAATAAAACACGGAATAATTTGTATCACCAACAGTTTGTCCAGGGAGAAAAAGGCCTCACCATCTCTAAATTGAATAAAGCGCCACATTTCAAAATTTACTCGCCACCGGACATGGGACACTTTGTTGTTATTGCTGAATTCTTTCTGTTCCATTTATATTCCTACCGACTTCAATTTATTCGATGTGTTGCATGAAATTTACATTCTCCGAATTTTGCATACAAATTGCCATTACAATTTCGCAAAGGGGCGGGCGTGTTCTCGGTGCCTTTCTTCGAGTGGGGTAAATGTGTGTGCACCGTAACAAGGCATTTGGGTCAAGTCGAATGTGCGGCTCCGATTTCTGCTTGTGTTCCGTGTCAGTGGAATTGGCAAAGTTTGCAGTTTTTGCAAAAATGGCCATGCACTTTGCCCAATTTGCATTGAACCACCACATCCGTCGCCCATTACGTCCGGATGGATACCTATTTGATACCCGCTGAAATTCCATCTACGCAAGCAGCTCCTCAAAACTTTTGGTTTAAACTACCATTTGGCACAATAAATGGAAATTAATTGTATGTCTTTTTATGCAGTTTAAGAACTCTGTTTCATATCATAGTGTCTTAACGCAGAGTCCTTTGAAAACTAAGTGACTTGAGGCAGAGTATTCGCAGAACCCAAGATGGTTTTGTAAATTCATCAAAACTAAACTTGATCCCTTTATAAATCTCTCCAAGTTCTTATTTTAAAATACAGGCTTTAGCCTTTGCTTGGACTCTCAAAAGTCACCCATTAAAGTTCATTTCAGTTTCACAATTTTAAAATTTCAGAAGGTTTTCACATCTCGTGGGGCAACTGTAGCTGGATAGGATCTCGGAGATTGAAGATGGCTCGTCTCTCAGCTTTGAGCATGGCAGTGCTGATCCACTCGGTGCTGGGCATCTCGTACTATCATTACTTCCGCCAGACATCCGCCTCAGCATCGCTTTTGGGGGCGTGGCTCTTCTCCGCCTGTGTCGTGGCCCTGCTCCAAGCCATTAAGATCTCTCCTACTGCAACTCCTGCTCCCAATACGAATGGCCAGCGTTTCAGGGGCGGAGGCAGAGACCCGCAGCCCAGTCCCAACTCCAGCTCCAGTTCCTGGAGTGCCCTGCTTGTGGAGACAGTCATATGTTGCCTGGTCCTTGATCTCACCTTGACCCAGTTGTGGAACCGCGTAGAGTCACTCTGCCAATGTGCCATCATTGGTGTCCTCCAAGGCTTGGCCGTGGAGGAGGCAACCTTTCTGGCCTGCGAGTACTGGACTTTGGCCCTGACCACCGGGCTCATCGGAGGAAGCCTGCTCTGGCTGACCCTACAGGCAACGTCGTTTCCAAGGAATGTGCACTGCAGTCTGATCAACTGGCGTTGCTCCTTGACCCGCTGGTGGTCATCACTGTTCTTATACCCTGCTCCCCATGCTCATCCGCATCTACATCAGAATCCTCAGCCCATTGCCCGGAGCAGTGTCGCCTGAGAAGCTGAATCTTGCTCCAGCTCCTACCGCAGTGTCTATCTCTATTTCCGATCACCAACCAAAAATTATGGATATATTAATAATATTCAGTTAGAGATTATGCCAATAAATTAAAGTTAATTAATAAATTATTAAATTCCACTTTGTTGAGTATTATTGTTCGCCTATAAATGGATCTAAAACAAAAGCTGTCTGTATGTATTGACACCTTTGCCTATATTTGAGGCCAGGATAAGGTTAATTCGGAACGCCTATTTTCCGCTTATTAATTGAAATGACACTCAGTGCGTAAACAATTTTTTGTTAATATTTTTCTTGACAAATATATACAGGTGTATGAAGTATACGGCATCTCCCGTGGCTCCTTAAAAAAGTTCGTGTACACCTAAACTAATCCAATATATAACAAGAAAAAAACGAACTTTGGCACACAAAAATGTATATATCCTAGCAGCTTGCAATTTTATTATTATTGAATCGGAAATATATATTTATATTAATTTTTTAATAAATCAAAATTTAAAAAACCCATAACTACGCCAAAAAAGCATTAAATTGAATTCGGAAACCGCTCCTATGTTAGTTTTTATCAGGTTAAAAAATCTACATACTGAAGGTAACATTTTAAAATATTCAAAATTTTATCAATTTTTGAACATTTTAACGATGTAACCCCTTATAAAATTTAAAAAAAAATTGAAAAAATTTGTTTTCCTTCGGAGATGGTTAGATCGACTCGTCTTTTGATGCTGATCAAGAATATATATGATTTATAGGGTCGGAAATGACTCCTTCGTATGGTTATAAGCTTCTGATCGAAAGGTACTCATGTTATGATTATTTTTATGATTATTATTTTTAATTAAAATTTGTAGTAAAAAAAAAAAACGATGCCAGATAAGACCGAACAGCTTCTTGAATTGCAAATTGTTTTATTTTTTTATAAATTTTTAAAACTTTGATTTGAGGAAGTCAAACTAACACAAAAAATATTTTAAGTTCAATATCTTAAAAGAATGCCCCTTATGCAAAAAAGGGATAGTATCGAAGGTCCTTTGGTGGAAACAAGGACAACTGTCGGAGCCAGGGCTGGATTCTATGGCGCGCTTTTTAAACTGTGCAGTCTTCTTATTATATATAACTTTTGATATCTATTTTATTTCTTACCATTTAAATAAAATCTAATCTTATATCTATAACTACTGGTACTCATGATAATAAGCTCATTAATTTTTAAATTATTTCCCTCTAGTGGTGAGCATAGCTCATGGTAAACAATCGATTGTCCTCAAATAACAATCGAGTATAATCGGCGCAAGCACACGATTTTTGCCACCACTATTTTTATGTAAACAAAGAAAAGAAACGCCGAGTCAATTTTATTTCTAAAACAATTAAAACGACATTAATGTACTTAATGTACATCCTCCTCACAGGATGTTCTGGAAACTCCCTTGGTCAAATCTTTGTGCGGCGTGTGCCAGCAGGAGGAGGAACTCTGGGATGCCATATATGACGTCGTAGAGGTGCTCCAAGTGGAGCTGCTCCTACCTAGAAAGATGTGGCAATATTAAAGTGAGTTATTCTGCACGCTTAATTGGCATTTAAAACTTAGGTATTAATTGCCAGGTAGACGCCAACGACTCACGTCAAAGGTTCTTGTACCAGGAGTGCCCCAACGTGCTGATTAGCGATGCCAAGTTTAGCAGGAAGTGCTCGAAGAAAGAGATGAGGGCTTGGGTCGATACTCAGAAGCACCCGACGGAAATGGAGACCACTGAGGTTGCAGAGTGGACATCAGACATGTATGCCCGTAGTGCGACAAGTGCCTGCAATCCGCCTCCAGTCTTGCCATACTTCTAAGAAGCGGTCCCTCGTCTGCGAAATATGTTCGACGACATTCAAGGACAAAATATCCCTAGTCGCTCATCAGAGGCGACACCAGCAGGTCTTAGAGTACATGTGCCTACACAGCGAATGTGACTTTTTGGAGGAGATCGATCTACGACGACATATAGCCGCCTGGCATATGAACGACTGGCCCCACACTTGCACCGTTTGCCAAAGCAGCTTCTTCCGAGTGGAAATTGTGGCTTCCTGTGAAGCCACAAACGGAATCACACTGGAAATCGCCTGCACCGCTGCCTAGTGTGCGAGAAAACCTTTAGCAGGGCGGGGCATGTCCGAAAGCAAGAGATGCGTCACGAAGCCGGCAAATGATAAGGTGCAGACTTCGATTTTGGCCAGTGCACTGGCTCAGTCAAGGCAGGGTCAAGGTAAGAGCTATCAGTAAGCTTATTATTAGCTCTGTGGGCTTCTCGCAATCCCCAGGAAATTCTTAGAGCTCACAAACGTTTGAGTCTCCCAAGCAAAAAGATGATCGCAAGGCGAGTGTTGATTGGGATCATCTTAGTGGTCTTTTTAGCACAGGGCAGCATCGCCTCACACCGTAGTCCGCGTGGAGTGCACGTCAAACTACCTGGCAGGTATGTAATTTAATCATTATAATAATCTAAAAATTAAAACTACATATTTTTCAATAGCAACTCAGTAGCGCTAACCAGCGCAGTGCGAAGTGTAAAAGAAAAGATTGAGCAACAGAATGAGATCCTGAGTCGTCTGGCCAATGCTACTGAGCAGCCTTTGGTTGCCTCGAACGCCTTCCTGCGCAATTGTGCGCTGACCGACAAGCACGGATACACCCGCATCCAACTGGAGGAGGCCAGTAAGCCGTTCGACGTATTCTGCGAGCAGGCGCAGGACGAGGGCGGCTGGACTCTGGTGCTGCAGCGATTCAATGGCACTCGGCGCACTGCCCAGGAGTTTCGCACTGGGTACAACAGCATCGTGGATGGAGAGTACTTCCTGGGCACGGATAAGCTCTATGCACTGACTCATTCGCGGGACCACGAGCTGCTCTTCGTGATGGAGTTCATGGACCGGACGACGCGTACCCACCAGGCGCAGCGGTTCATCCTGCAGAGCCCCACAGCTCACCTCACTTGGGCCGAAGAACAAGAAACCGCCCGGTATAGCTGGGCACAGTGGGAGCAGGAGATTGCACGGTTGCCGGCAGGGAAATCATGGGAGTCGTACGAAAGCTGTCCAGGCCGTCTCTGCGGACTAGAGCGTTTGTAAGTGAACGTTTTCCATATTCTATATATAGTGTATACATTTAAATTAATTTGTTTCCAGCATTGTCTTTTTGCTGAAGTGGAACTTTGCTCAGCTGAACCACAGCCCCTTGATTGGTCGTCCGAATATCCGCCTCTTCAAGTTGCTTCTACGTCCCTCAAACAGCTACTGGACTGTTCAAAATTCTTAAGATGTTTTATCTAAATCTAATTTAATAAACAAGCAAACGCCGGGTCAATATACAATATACCTTTCTTACTGAAGTCTTCGCATCCCTAAGATCCGTTTAATTACAGTATAAAATATACAATTTATTTGGGGCTTAAATATATATATAACCGAATTTGATAAAAATGAATAAGCTATACATATATTATACCCTTGCAGGGTATTATAATTTCAGTCAGAAGTTTGCAACGCAGTGAAGGAGGCACCTCCGACTATATTAGGATCAACAGCCGAGTCGATCTAGCCATGTCCGTCTGTCCGTTTCTACGCAAACTAGTCCCTCAGTTTTGATGCTATCTAAATGAAACTTGGTAGTTAGCCTTCTATATACTCTCACTCGTTTATATGTCAGAACGGGCCGGATCGGAGAACTATAGCTGCATAGGAATGATCGGAAAACTTTTACAAAAAAAATTTTAATTTTTTCAGTTTTCAATAGAATTGGATCAAATTTGAGATATAGCCATTTTACAATACTCTTCAATTTTGCATAAAATTTTATGAAAATCGGACTACTATATCATATAGCTCCCATAGGAACGATCGAGAAATTAATACAATTAAATTTAAAACTTTTTCAGTTTTCAACAAATTTTCATCTTTTTTTTCATTTTGACTAAATTTATTATTGTAAATTACTGTAGTGTAGCAACTTATACAATAGTGAGCGGTAGAGTTCATTGGATTATTACAAAAGTGTAAGAAGTGAAGAAGTAACAAGTGGCAGGGAGTTTAGTTAGTGTTTAATAAATTTTCCTTCTTGGTAGGTCCGAGGGATGAATTCTTTTAAGTCTGCGCCTTGCCCGCAATTCATTATTCATTAGTATTCAAAATTAGTAACTGATCATACATACTTACTGGTCATAGATACTTACTGCCCATAGATACTTACTGGTCATAGTTAATTACTGGTCATAGTTATATACGGATATTAGCTACCTACTGATCGTACTTACTTAATGTTTATTGATACTTACCAGTCAGAGTTAATTAATGTTCATTGATACTTACTGATCAGAGTTTCTTACTGCTCATAGTTACTTATTGATTATAATTTAATTAAATAGCTCGCTGCTCCTCTCTGCCTCTCCCCCTCTCACTCTATGTTAATCGCTCTATGTTAATCTCTAGAGGCAACTGCTCTCTCCCACGCACTCACACTCACTTTCTCTGCTCTTCTCTGCTCTGCTCGGGGACTATAAATAGAGGTGCTGAGGTCGCGCGCGCCTCAGTCTGTCCTAGGGGTACCTAGTGTTAACATCTCAAGTGATAGTGATAGTGATCCCCCTTCGATCCCAAAAATATGACGTGGCCAATACATCTGGATGACTAGGAAGAAACTCACTTTGGATGAAGTCGCCATTCTTGACCAATGTAAACAATGACGAAAGAGAATAGCCACGTGTCCTTTACGGCGGTAAGTCTTAACCATGACATTTATATTATGTATGAAGAAGCTGTAGGTGGGATTAGGCCTAGTTCTAGACTTTATATTCCAATTTATTTCCTTATTGCCATGGTCCCCTTTACATACTTTGAAGCTGACTAATTTTTATACCCTTGCAGGGTATTATAATTTCAGTCAGAAGTTTGCAACGCAGTGAAGGAGGCACCTCCGACTATATAAAGTATATATATTCTTGATCAGGACCAAAAGCCGAGTCGATCTAGCCATGTCCGTCTGTCCGTCTGTCCGTTTCTACGCAAACTAGTCTCTAAGTTTTGAAGCTATCTGAATGAAACTTTGCAGTTAGTCTTCTATATACTCTCACTCGTATATATGTCGGAACGGGCCGGATCGGACGACTATATATTATAGCTGCCATAGGAATGATCGGAAAATTTTTACAAAAAAAATTATAACATTTTTAGTTTTCAACAGAATTTAATCAAATTTGAGATAAAGTCATTTTATATTATTCTACAATTTTGTGTAAAATTTGATGAAAATCGGACGACTATATCATATAGCTCCCATAGGAACGATCGAGAAATTAATTCAATTAAAAAGTATAACATTTTCAGTTTTCAACAGATTTTCATCAAATTTGAAGTATAACCATTTTATATCAATCTTAAATTTTGTGTAAAATTTTATGAAAATCGGACTACTATATTATATAGGTGCCATACAAACGATCGTTAGATGTGGAGAAAAATGCACATCTGTTACTGTAAAACTGCAAATATAATATGTAAAGGTGAATGAAATGAAAGCAGGTATTACTTCATTGTTTTTTTAACACAAACATATATATTTTATATTGTATGGATTCCTATTCATAGAAGTTCTATCTGCAAGGGTATATAAACTTCGGCGTGCCAAAGTTAGCTTCCTTTCTTGTTTTTATTTGGTTCCCTTTTTCCATTAAATCGTTTGGGTGCGTGAAAAGGCTAGAAGTGTTAACAGGCGAGCCCCCAAAAATTTTGGATCGTATGTGGGTCGTAGATGTGGATGGTGGATGCAACGGAATTGCATAGGCATCGCTTTGCTGATCCGCCTCTCCCGCTCTCATTCAATCCAGGAAAGCCCATCAATTAAGTCGTGCGAAGTGTGTGGTTAGGCTGTAAATTTTTAACTGCGGTAAATCGAATAAAAACAAGCCGGAAAAGTTCGTGGCGGCACCGATCTAAGCGTAGTCACGGATTCTAGTTAGTGAATCCTCGGAAAATCTAATATCGGGTGACCGGGAAACGCATTTTTTTTGGCCAAAAAGAGATACCATATGCAAGTGAAAAAGTGTCAGTGAGTGCAAGTTAAAGTGGTGTTAATTTATATTTAATATGTGTGCATACATGGTCTCTGGCCCGTGTCTTTTTCTTCGGTCCGAATTTCAGGTTTAGGGGAAACAAACAAATCGTTGAAGTGCACGCAGCCAAATCACGTGAGTTTTATTCATTTTATCTTTTTCTTCTTTCCCGTCTTCTTCAAGTTCTTTTTCAATTGCCCCGTTAGGATTTGAACTTGAAAAATGAAATGTAAACAAAAGCTCTCTCACGGGAAGTAGATCCCTGGAAACGATCCACATTTGTGGATTGAAAAGATTAGGCGGTGTTTGTCTTGACTAGTCTTTGATTTTAACTGAAAAATGGATGTTGTTTGCAAAACCTTTTTATTATTTATTGGCCAAGAATTTTTGGAATCATTTTACTCCTTTCTGATTTTAGTTATTGCTGCAATTATTTATATATATGTTGCCTATGTGAAATGAGGGATTTTATGGCCCAAATATATTTAATACGAATTATCAATTTCTTTTCCATACGCACTTACCGTATGTCGTCCGATTGCTGAAAAATTATTCAGGATTAAAGCTACCAAGACTTTAAAGTTGTTTTTGCTTTTTCAAATCTTTTATTGCATGCAGGTAAGAGTTAGTAAGGTTTCTTCTTGTAATTGGTTTACATTTACTTTGACTTTGCAATTATCCTACAAGTTACAACAAATGACGCAGTTATATGCTTTAAATATATATATATTTATATATATCCGTATAATGTATAGATGTATATCGGGATTGTTTGGTATATATATTCATTGATGAAATTAAACAGTAATTGAAGAGACAAACTTGTACTCGTTAATAACTTGCACTAGGTTGAGAGCACGATCTGCCTTTTGATTTTCACTTTCATATCTATCCCTCAGTGCGCTGGGGGCTTCTTCGGTCCTATTTGTACAGTAATTTATGCGTACACATTTATGTAAATATGGTTAGTCATCTTTAATTTGATTTTCATGCATTTTCGATTAATGTACTTGGCTTAATTTAATTTATTTACGGGTAATTACGAAATAAGTTTAGTTCTGCGGGTGCTTATCCTTGTATGGCTCAATTCTCTTTGGGTTCGCTGCGGGTCGTATCTGTATCTTCCGTTATGGCGGCGGGATAGCTGCACTCTCCTCATTCTCATCTACATCGGATTCGGGATCGGTTTTGGGGGTCTGCCTGCTTGGGGGAGTCGGAGATTCGAAGGTAGGGGTCGGGGTCACTAGGGTCACTTAGTCTACAAAAGCGTCGCCTCTGGGTAAACGGAAATATACATAGTACGTGAGAATCGATTTAATATCTAGGTGGGTCAAACTGGTCAACGGGTGAGAAACAGGTGCATAACTGGGTGCCCACGGATCCTGTCTACAGCGCTGATCCCTGCTCCGTCCATCGGTGATACTTACGCGCTTGGACGCCCAGGTCGTCGAGCAGCAGTTCGCTGGAGGACTTGGATCGCTTCGGGAAGATCAGGGCCTTCCTCAGCGGCGTCACATGGGCAATGGCCACCTGGGATCGGGACTGTGGCTTGGGCGGTGGCCTTGGTGCCCGTTTCTGCTTGTGCGATGGCTTCCTCATCTGTTGCACAAAGGACTTGCTGACGGTGGAGCCCCGGTTGAAGTCGGCCGCCTCGTTGAGCGTGGCCTCTCCGGGGTACTTTTGCAGCTTGTGGTCCTGCGACTTGAGCCGCTCGAAGAGATTCGTTAGGGTGCGGGATCGGGGTGGAGACGGGGCAGGATATTTGTTTAGATTAAGCTGCGGAGTGCTGTGCTTGGGCGTTCGCCCTGCCGCATTTTTGGTGGGCGTGGTGCAGGCCGTCTGCGCCCTACTGGCAAACACCTCGTCGTCCAGCTCGCTGAGGCTCACCAGCATGTGCTCGTCCTCGAAGATGTCATCGGTGGTGGTCTGCGTCTGCGTGTGGCTCCGCTCTGCTGCCTTTTCCTCTTCGTTCTCGTCGTCGTAGCGGGCGAAGATCTCATCAAAGGCTGCATTCACAATGAAAGACTCGTCCTGCAGCTCCGCATCCTCGTCCTCTACGCTGCCATGCCGCCTGAGGGTACCGAATAGGTTCTTCCGGTAATCCTCAAAGGTGGACTGCTGCAATTGTTCCCTGCTCCCTGGAGCTGGTCCCAATCTCAAAGGTTGCGGTTGCCAGAAGCTGGAGGCCAGAGTCTGGGTACTGCAGCTATTGATCAAAACCCCCTCGTGCAAGGATTGCTGCTGTGGCTGCGACTGTGTTCGTGAGCGTGCTTGTTGCTGTTGCTGTTGCCGTTGCTGCAGCTGCTTCTGCTGCTGCAACCGCTGGCGGTGCAGTTGCTGCCCCAACCGCTGGCGCATCTCCTGCGAGCGGCGCTTCAGCTGGCTGTACTTGCTCTGCGTGGTGTTGGTGGTGGTGGTGGTGGTTGTGCCGCCGCCGGTCTCATACTTACTTAGCTCCCGGTCCGGACTGCGTTCCTCCTCCGCCAGTCGCCGCTGCAGGGCCAATGTCTCGAAAGTGTGCACCACACTGCCCACATGCGTGCTGATCTCGGGGATGCCAAGGTCGCCACTGAAAAGATCCGCGTTCCGCTTGGTCAGCGTGTTGGGGGCATGCCCATGGCCGGGGGCATGGCAGTGGCGTAGGGGCGGCACCGGGCAGCGGTTCAACTGGGAATCTGGGGGATATTGCTCGAGAAACTCGGATGCCTCCTGCTGCCAGAGCAGGTTGCCCAGCTCGTCGTGGCCACTGCTTCGGGCCTGGGAACTCGACTGGAGGTGTAAGCGTTGGTGTGGTTTGTGGTGTGTCGATGTTGTTTGTTGTTGTTGTTGTGTGGTTTGAGTTGTTGGCAGATATTTCAAGCAATTCGTTAATGAAATAAATAAACAAAATCAGATTAGCCGAGTTTGGGGCAAGAACGCGATCTGCTTTCGAGTGCTGAAGTTGGTGGTTGGTGAGCTTTTAGGGACGTGGGGTTTGGGGTTTTAAATCGAGGGTCAGAGGTTAGAAGGGCCGGGGTCAGAGGTCTTTGGACAGGGGCTGGTGGGCCTGGCTTAGGTCTACAATAGATATTAACTAGTTCTATTAGCTTATCATTTCTATGTACACAATAAACAATAAGCTGTTGGCCATGTTCAATGGCTCTCCATTTGCCACACATTTCGACATTTTCTACGAACTAAATTAGTTTATAGACTAGGTAAATAATCAATTCATTTAGGGGCTATCATTCGAGCCAACAACAAGCTTCCCAACACAACAGATTGTAGTCGATACACTTAACTCGTCCCCGGCAAGCCGGTCTTATGTTGCAGCTGTTAAAAAATGCCAGGAATTGTCTTCCGGCAGCCGCAAATCAAATTTGCATTTCAATTAGGAATGCATCCTGCAGCACTGAATTCAGCTTCGAGAGTCTCTCAATCAAATGAAAACTTTCAACCATTTGGCGAACACAACTGTGTGTGGGGTGGTTTGGTTGTGCAAACTGTGTGTGTGTTTTGGCTAGCATTTAAAGGGTGTCCCAAAAAATTCCACAGAATGTGCTACTCTTTGATTTGTGGAAATATTCCAATGACATGAAGAGAATATATCTTACGCATGCCTTACACAAATAATTTTCTTACAGAATTAAACCAAATTATTTAAACAATTTTTTGGGACAGCCCAATCCTTCACCACCCTTGGGTAGCGGTTAGTGTGATTTAGGGTGCAAGTGCGTCTAATAATAGTTATTATCGAATGGTAGGCTATCACTGGAGCTGGAGTAGTGCTGCTGTTGCTGCTGCTGCGGTGGCAGTGGCAGCACCTGGTTGCCACAACCGTTGCGCTTTGCTGACTTGCTGCTGCTGCACTTCTGTTGTTGCTGCTGCTGCTGCTGTTGCTTGTGCATGGCCTTGAAGTCGTCCTGCGACTTGCTGTTGCTGCTGCTGCTGCCCTTCGAGCCGTGCTTGCCATTCTTGTGCCCCTTGCCGTGCTTGGTGTGCTTCAGGCTGTGGTGCTGCTGGTGATGGTGCTGCTGCTGCTGTTGCTGCTGCACGTGTGGGTGACTGTAGCGATCGCCACCGTGCTGCGGATGATAGTGATGCTCGATTTGGGCAATGTTGCTACTGCTGTGATAGTGCTGTTGCTGCTGTTGTTGCTGCGGGAGCTGCTGCTGGTGGCTGCTGTTGTCGCTGGCCGTGCCGCTGCTGCCGTAGCTGTAGATCTGCGATTTAGACTGACTGCGCAGCGGTTGCTGCTGCTGATGTTGCTGCTGCATGGTGGCAACACTGTAGTGGTCCAGGCTGTCAAAGGTCTGCAGATAGTGGGGATTGATCTGGGTGCAGTAGTCACCGCCAGAGCCAGAGCCGTTGGCCTGTTTGCGGTCCAGTGTGTTGCGTGTGTTGTAGCTCAGGTGTTGGTAGTGCGACTCCGTGCCGCCTCCCTGTTGCTGTTGCTGCAGCTTGGAACCGTTCTTAAGGGGCAGCGGTGGCGGCTGGGGTTGCGGCGACTTTCTGTGTCCACTCGACTTGAAGCTGTTGTTTCCGCTGTGCATGGTGAGACTGTTGTTGCTGTTGCTATTACTGTTGCTGTCTGACTTGGTCTTGATGGCTACGAACGCGTTGGGCAATGGCAGCGGCGGCAGCAACGGCGGCGTACCGGTGGGCGTGGCTATTGTGGTCGACGGAGAGCTGCAAGTGGTCGCCGCTACTGTCGCTGCGGTGCTGGCCACGCCCAGTTCCCGCTCCCGCTCGCGCTACGCGATGTGATGACCACCGAATGTGCGAAGGACCGGCACGCTCTGGTTTTGTGGTGTATTCGGAATTGTTGTTGTCGTTGTTGTTGTGATGGTGCGGTTGTTGAGTTGTTGAGGTGTTGGTGTGGTGTTGTTTGGTGTAGGTTTTGGTGTGGAGTTCACATTACAATTGTGGTGGGCGTGTGGCGGTTAAATGCGCATTGGTTGTTATCGGAAAATGAAATGTCAGAGCGTAAAAAGAGACGAAAAGGAAAAGAGTAGACACTTATCATATAAGTTGTGTATGATATAAGTATATAAATATTTGCTTAAGAAGAGTATACGTAGGTGTTGCTTGTGTGAGTGTGGGCGTGTTATTGTGTGTGTGTGTGTGTTTTGGATTATTTCTGGGGGATTGGGAGGTGCGTCCGTTGACGTGTGTCTATACTGTGTTTACTGCTCGCTATATCTGCGAACGGTTCAGTTCTTATATACATATGTACATATAACTAATCAAGACTCGCGAGAGAGGTGCCTGCGGGCTACAAGGTGCACGGCAGAGAGGTGTAAGGGGTGTAAAAGAAAATTCAGGCAGTCGAAGTTAGCTTTACTTGCACTAAGTTAGTATTTACACAGATGGGTTGCTTAGTAGCTTAGTGGCTAGTCCCGTGAGCTTCAAGACAATAATTGGGCAAAACGTTCCACTTACTCTACGGATATCAGCGCGTGCTTTTCGGGAAAACTCGTTGGGAATTTCATGCATGGATGCAGGCGAGGTGGGCGGGCGGGTAAAGTGCGGGGAAGGACTAATTGGAGAGCGAAACTTATTAAATTTAACTCGAGTTAAGCGGGGCTCCACCCACACAGATGCACACACATACATAGCTAATTAACCAGGCTAATTTGTAGAAAAAAGGCTAGCGCCAAGTTTACATAAAGTTGGCCGGAACGAAGTTGTCGCCTTTAAGGACTTTCCGTGACTCCGGTTTGAGGCTTACTCGGCGGGTATAATTTTTACATTAAATTAAAAAAGTTCCCCCTCACACCAGCCCAGCAAGCAGTCGTAAGCGCTCTTTTTCCATCCTGGCAGCTTCCTTCTTTCTGAGAAGCACTGTAAATGCACTTTATGCATAGTCAATAACGCACTCACACACACTAGCACACACACACACAAACAGAGAGAGGGGGTAGGGGGTCGGGTTAAAGAAAACTTTCAGTCTCTCACTCAATGCACTCTCAAAGACACTACAGGGTGCACTTGTCGAGCAACTTGGCTCCGCGGAAAAGTTGACAAGCATTGACATAATTTTACGCGCAATGACAACTTGAAGGAGCCGCAGGATGTGTCTGAGCAACGGTCCTCGAGTGCTCAAGTAAGTGCTGCAACCTCACAGGCAGCCTGCCATTTCTATAGGTCGTGCATTTTCTGCATCATTTAGTTACATTTTGCCAATTGATGGAAATTTAATAGACTCGCCACATAATTGTGGCTAATGATGGATGGTCGCGGATCGAAGACCATCTGCTGCCCGGACGGGGGCGGATAGTCCGCGGAAAAAATCCGGGAAGAGGACCAGCGGCAACATCATCAACAGCACCCGGAAATGGGAAAATGGGAAGGGGAAGGGCTGCGCTCGCCGGAAGTTCAACTCAGTGCCACAAAAATTTGAAAACTTTGTAAACAAAACTTTGAACTCGGCACTTTTACTGCTGGCGCGAAACGAAACGAAAAACATCAGGCGACGATCCGCAGGACCTTTTGGATAAAATCCTATCCTCCGAGTCCCTATCCGCTATCCCCTCTGCCCCCCATCGCATCTCTTGCCGTGGATGTCAACTGCACAAAGTTTTCCACACGGCAAATGGTAACTGAACTTGCTCGAAACTTGTGCGCGACCGGAGACGGGGACAGGCACTGGAGTTGAACTGGAATCCACTCTGCATACAACAACAAAAGGCGTTCATCAATTGTCCAGCGGATGTTGAGTTCAGCCGGAGCGGGACGGGGTCGGAGATGGAGACGGAGACGGAATGGAGATAGGAGTGGTGAGCAGCGGTGACAGTGACAGCGACAGCGACAACGACAACGACAGTTGCAGCCAGGCTTCCGCCAAGCTCGGCTACATCCGCCGTCCAAATCACCGAGTTCCCCCACTAACCTCCAAGGGCTCTAATCTTTTACTCCCAAAACTCCCAATGCACAAAGAAGTAAGATATGGTAATGTCAAGTCAATATTTTCGAAAATATTACTCGTCCCTAGGGTTCTCGAAAAACTAGATTATAAATACATACACGCAAGCAAAAATTTAACTTAGGCTTCATGAATATTAAACAAAATCTAACTAAGAACCGAAAGAAAAAGGAAAAACCTAGTAGAAAAATATTGAAATTATAAACACCTGAAGTAGGTATAGTAGTTTTTCTCTCTGTACCTCTCACCCACACTCGCACACCCGATCAAAGCTAACTGCACTTCAAAAATGGCTCCTATCTGCCATACACTATACTACAAAAGCAGAGATGCCGAAGAAGAAATAAATGCAAACGAATATTCTTTTGTAAATATTACTTTGTGCTGCTGCTGCCTGTTGGGGAAGTGGAAGATGGCTCTGCTCGTTTTGCATTTCATTTGAGAAAAATGCTACAAGTTTCCCCCACAGCTGCTGCCACCCACTCCATCCACCCCTCACCCCCTTGGGTGCATCGTCACGCATGCTTGTGTTGTTGCTGCCTTGAGTACAATTGTAATAACTATCTCGGCGAGTGTTTGAAATGCGTTTACCGAAAACTTTTACGGCTCTGCCGCTGCAAGAGTGCAAGAATGTTTACGGTTTTCCTTCTTTTCCTTTGGTATTCGCCGAGGGGAGGAGGGTTAGGGGCTGCCATTTTCTTACTTCAGATTTAAATAAAAAAAATAATAAAAAAAACGGCAAATTGTTGTAGTGCATAAAAGATGCCCAAAAAAGTATGCAGCGTTTTATTTTCCTCCTCCAACGAGGAAATATTATTGCGCATACGCCCCGTTGAAAATATCACATTATGCTGCATTATAGATGAAATATTCTGTTCTGATTCCTCATTGACTACAAGTTTCTGCTCTATATATTTAAAAGTACGTACTAGTGAGGATATTTAGAATAACAAAATTACTTTTCTATGCAAAATACCCTCATTTTCCACAAGGGAATTGTATTTATTTGTGAATTTACAATTATTTCCAAGTAACTCTTTATGGCAATCACACACGATAGAATGGCAAAAGGTAATGGTAATGGAACTAAGAATTTTCCCAACTTAATAATATTGCGTATACGCTTGCAAGCTATAATCAAATGCCGTTTAGAACTTCAAATTGTCTGCAGCTTACTGTGCAAACTATAATTTCACTATTTTACAATTATATAGGACGGTACAAAAAGTAATGCAGAGCTTTATGCTCTGGCACAAAATATTGCGCATACGCCCCGTTGTAAATACCCAGTAATGGCCCATAAAAGATAGCATATTGAAGTAGTAATTGTGGGTACCCAAATCATGCCATAAATTACCCAAAATGTATGTCCCAGAAATATATGTGTGCAGCGAGCGCAGTTTAATTAAATGATTAACACAGATATTTACAGCGCCGGAAAGGCCGAAAAAAAGGGGGCGCTTCGCACCTGCGAGTGTTTCCGCATTGAGTTTGCACACGGACATGGGTCAACAGGAAATACAAGTTGCGGCAGTGTCGCTTTCAACGCTTTCAACCAGATTCCCCCGGTATCCCGATGTCCCCCTGGTGTCACCATATAACATATATCCCCGTGTGCCCGTTCCCCGATTTCCCCAGTGTCCTGGACAACGGTCAATTGCTTTGCTTAAACAGTCGACAGTCGGCGGTTGGCCGGCGCTTGTTTTGTTTGCTGATTGCGCAAATATTTGCGCAGGCATTAAACGCAGAATTGATGGCCAAGCGGGGCCGTGCGTCCTGCCGTGACCAGGGCCCGGCCGCAATATAAATTTAAATATTAACGCCCCGACTTAACGTCGATGAGTCGCCGTTGCCGAGGCAGTCGGCAGCCGGCAGTCCGGACTGTCTGTAGATATTTTTGTTTCAGCCTCCGTCTGACTTCTTTGCCAAAGTGAAAGGCAAACGTTTGCCTTAATGTTAACAGCCTCGTTACTTTTTATTGCACGCACCGCGCCAAGTTAGCGGTCAAAGGGCAGGCCAAAATTTTCTGTGTGGTCATTACCGCATAACCGACATCCAAAAAAAAAGGTACCAAAATTGTGATTATGAACACAAATTTGCGCTTAAATTGCGCTCCTGTTGGTTGAGGCCTTGGCGCATTTTTATTAAAAACCGCCAAGTCATTAAATTTTATTACAAGTTTAATTTTTCAATAAGGCTGCATAAAACAGGGAAACGGGGAAAAAGCCTAAGACAAGGCTGTGAGGATTTAAGTGAGTTGCAAAAAGGATGAAACCGACCTGGGTAATGCCTGAAAGTCAACTAAATGAGTTCATATTTTCACCTTGTTTATTTTATTTGAAAAGCTAAAGGTGTTTAGTCTAAAGAGGCACATGAATTGACTTTGGTCCTAAGTGACTATATATGAAATGGTTAGATACTATTAATGGCTACGGTTAAACGAACAAACACATACCTTGAAGATAAATCAGATGCTAAAAGGGAAACCATTAAACGGAAGTAGGTTACTTTTTAAAGAAGTTTATGGTTTTTAGCAGTATTTATTAGTACATGCTCAGTGATTGTACTAATAACTATAAAGGTAGAAAGCTTTGGTAAAATAAATAAGATTTATAAGTTCTGAAACGCACTTTTTTCCTGCACAGCAAACTTCTTACTTATATATATATATTAAATTAATATAAATAAGCAACTTTCTATCCCATCACAACTTTCAAAACGATCTGAGAATATATCGCAAATCTCTACGTTTCCATCCTCTATATTTTCAAACAACTCTCAAAGTTAATCTTTCTATTTTGGGCACTTGAAAAAAAAAGCCAGCAGTGTCAGAAAAAATGACTCTATGAAAGACGGGTTTAAGCACACACACTT